CGAGCATCCTTACACCTTCACCGGAAATACCGCCGTGCATAGAGCCCATTGCAGGCAAGGCGCATCTCAAACAAGCCTCTTGTTTTCACGTGACGTCACGCCACTGCGTTGCCATGGCGCGAAATGCAGATGGAGGGCAGGAAGTGATTTTCGTTTATGGTTGCTCAAATCGATCAAACCACGAGGAGTTTTTATCGTGTGCCAAAAGTTGTTGTTCATAAGGGTGGAAAATACAAGAAATTGACAAAAAAAAAAAAAACACTGGGAAAATGCCTTGCAAACCTACGTCTGCGGTCGGGAGGAGCCAAATGCGAAAATGCCTGTGTGATCACTTCGTCAAATGTGAGTTAATACATTAGGTGGCTTATAATAACATTATTCAGGTGTTTAAATACACTTATGTGGCTGTTTGTGTCACGTACCAGTTTCCGAACTTTGTAAAGTCAAAGTATGTCTGTAGGACGAGTTAGTTGCTGATATCTACAGCCTCGATGGCAGGCAAATCTCTCAATTCAGTTGAAAATCGGTCCTCTTCATAACGTAAGGATCACGTCCAGTGTTTCGATTTTCTAATATATTTCTCTTGTAATAGCGTCTAGTACAGTACGGATTTTCCTCCATCTTGTCCATTGACTCTGTGCACGAGAAAAATGCTAACTTCCGCCTTGAGGGTGGATGTTGGGTACTTCGGTTCCGGTTGCCGTTGTTTACATCCTACATCAGTGGACCGGCTATCTAAAGCTTAGCTATCTAAATATATTTGTCTAAAACTATGTTTGTTTGTTCATTGTCAAGTCAACCAACACAGTTTTCACTCATATTTGGGTGGAGCCAGGCGCTGCTGCATTGTGAAAAGTAAACGATATTTCACATTTTGTCACCGCACCCAAGCAGTCACTTTACAGAGTGGAGCGTTGCGTATCCATGACAACTAGAAGGAAGTTTTTAGGCTACTAATTATTTATTATATTATACCCTTTAACCAGGAGAAGCCCCTGGGTTTAGAACCTATTTTGCAAGGGAGATCTGTTTAGGAATATGTGTTAAACAGCCTAACTTGATAAAGAACGAACCAACGTCGGATACCTTTACTCCCTGTATGACATGTATAGTGGTTGTCAACACTGATCTATATGACATTCTATATAGATAGTGGTTGTCAACAACATAGCCTCTGAACATCATAAACAAAACAATGACCAACACAAACTGTTCTGGAAAATGCACTTTCTAACGCATGATTTCGCATTTTATAATGTATAGAGAGATATAACAGTTACCAAATCGCATAGCTTGAGCACGTAGCATGGCAACATTAATGTCCGAGTGATTCCACGTGTACCGCGTATGTATACGCCGTCAAATGTCCGAGCGAAACAAAACAAAATGTAGATCTACATCTGGGGAGCGATATTTATTTTTTCCTAGGATGGTAGGAGTGACGGGTAGGTTGGGGTTGAGGTAGGTCATATGCTATATATATATATATATATATACAATAATAACGTTAAGTCAAGGGCATTCATAAACACGCTGAAAAGAGATTATGCGTGTTGATAGCATGCCAAAAATACGTGATACGTGTCATACATACGCAATTTCATGAGATCAGTCTGAGCATGGATGTTGTTGTGACTTAACGTTCCCTTCAAAATGATGCAAATTCTGAGAAATGTAATATTTAAACCCCTTCTCTCTTGCTCTGGGGAGCTGGAGGAAAATCATTAGCCAGTCGATGAACATAATCGACTGTAATATTCGGCAAATGTTCAAGACATCTGGAGAAACATACATCCTCTACGTCGTCCATCAGGCTACCGGAAACTAGACACCCCATATCGGTTTCGCAGCCGGAACTAGCATATGCTAACGTGCATAGTCCATTGCGCTCTTCACTCCTTGCCCTCCATCTGCTTTCTGCGCGTCAACACAATCATGTGACTGCAAACCACCTTTTCAGACGCCTTTCCACTGCACACGACAAACGACCGCCGTCGGACCGGAAGTCATTCATTTCCAATGGAGAGTCGTACGGGAGCTGCGGGAGTTCCGATCATATGCGTATGCGGAAAATTCGGATCCGTTTTAAGCTTTGGATCCGTTGAAATATCTGAACGTCTGCGGCTAGACCGTATGCGACCGGCCAACCGGAAGTGATGTATTCTAATAAAAACTATGAGCGCGAGGCTAGAATTACCAATATTTTAACTCTTTAATGTTTTTCTAAACGCTCGCTCTGTAAAATGTTGGTTATAATTAACTATAGCAGAAAATATATTTTATAATTATTAAACCAATATTTATACTACTATATTTTTATTTGAGATGAATTGAGGGTCATTTGTTTTGTGATGGGTCAGTGACGTGCTGCACTGATTTGCAATTCCAGGAGCAATAAATATTATATATTAATATAAAATCGGTTTAAAATTATATACATGTTTTAATCTCACATCATCTGTCCTCCTCACTGTTCTTAATTGTGTGAAATTTCAAAAATAGGTAATTTTTAGACTATTAATGTGGTCAAATATCATACAGACAAACGGAATTCACTTAAAGTTATTTAAGACAATTGTATTTAAAATTATTAAAAATGTTTAAAAATGATACAATTTTTCATTTGGCATATTTTTTCAAGTCTTAAGATAAGCATATTAAACTATCAGTAAGATAGTCCTTTCAGAAACGTCATTTCTAAAACAAATTGTTCCGCAAAAACACATTTTCCCTATGTCATACGGTAAAACAAAGTTTAGAAGCCATTTTGGAACTTAATATTAATGACTTAAGTCATGTGAAATTTGATGACATCACTCAGAGGACCCCTGAAGACCAGCCAAGTTGAAGGCAAGTTTAAGATTTTGCTCCTACATTTGGGGTAATTTCACCTTTTCCAAGTGAGTTACATGTGTCACAGATTTGGGTGTCAATGGTCAAACGTCAAAAAAGGGTTTAAAACATTTAAAAGTTGAAAAAATATTTATTTACAGGTGAAATATAAAGTTTAAAAGTCAAGGTAAAGGGTAAAGATGAAAGGAGGTGGCCAAGCAACTGCCCGTTATAATGACACAGCACAAAATTGTCATAAGTGCAAACAAAAAATGTCATACAGACAAACGATTTTACCGTATGACATGTTGTTATACCATATGACACAGAGCGTTTAACTGTTATTTCTTAAATGTTATATCACATATATAATTTGTACGACTACTATGAATTAATATTAACATATATAATATATTTATGCCTATTTTAAGCATTTTTTCACATTATTACAGATGCCTCTTTCTAGTAAGGAGAGGGGTGCACATTTCTGTGCAAAGCTAAGGGCAGATCCTGCAGCTGAGAGGAGAACCTAGCCAAGAGGAGGGAAAGGTATAACTGTGAGAGTATATGATGCCAGTAATGTTAGGATGTGCCAGTTTAGTCAGTATAGGCAGTATCTTATCTATAGGCCTGAGTTGAAGTCAGCATCACAATGTTTCTGGAAAGTGGCTTCATATACAGTGGGGCCAAAAAGTATTTAGTCAGCCACTGATTGTGCGAGTTCTCCTACTTAGAATGTTGAGAGAGGTCTGTAATTTTCATCATAGGAACACTTCAACTATTAGAGACAAAATGAGAAAAAAAGTAAACACTGTAAACACCAGCTACACTGTGTGCAAACCTGGTGAAGACTGACCTCTGTCATTGCCAACAAAGGTTATGTTACAAAGTATTGAGTTGAACTTTTGTTATTGACCAAATACTTATTTTCCACCATAATTTACAAATAAATTCTTTAAAAATCCTAATGTGATTTCCTGGATTTTTTTTTTCCCTCATTTTGTCTCTCATAGTTGAAGTGTACCTATGACGAAAATTACAGACCTCTCTCATCATTCTAACTAAGAGAACTTGCACAATCAGTGGCTGACTAAATACTTTTTGGCCCCACTGTAGATATATTATTCATGTGTGTGTGTGTGTGTGTGTGTGTGTGTGTGTGTGTGTATCTCACTGTTGTAAATCTGACTGATATTGTCATGTTTTACATATAGCATGTCCTATGTGTTCCTTGTACTGAAAGAGAGTTGAGTTGACTAAAAGAAATGTTCATGTGTTGGGAAATATATTCTACTGTTAAAAAAAGGTTCACTTGAGATGCCTGTTTCTTTGAAATCATTTTGAATTGGCCTACATCAATTTATTACATTAAAAATGCAATTAAACATTGAAATTGTACTATGTCATACGGTAAAACAAAATATGTCATATGGTAAAACATTGAATTTTAAAATAAATAAAAATAGATACTTTGTTTGTTTACAGGGTTCATGAAAATAATGGAGGAGAGCTAGTATGATATACATATATATATAACTTCAAGGCATTTTTGACTAATTTCTTGCAAAAAAAATAGAACAAATGTCCATAGATGACATGCTGTGATTGTTAAAAAACAAAATATCTAGAATTTGTGGTGTAGGTGGTTATATTTTGCAACTTGTTATATAATACTTACAGATCAACTATTACATTCATGGTTGTTTTTAACTGTGTCATGAATATTAAATTTAATTTCTTCTTAAAAATCACTTCGTTTTACCATATGACATTTTCAAGGACTGTATACAAAGAAACACATTAAAATGTCATATATTGTTATTTTTTATAAAGGGCACTAATAAAAACAAAAAATATACACATAGATGTACACAAAAAATGCTATATTTAATTTGTCCTTTAATATTAATTTTTTTACTGTTTTGAAATTCTAAAACGTCACTGACCCATATTCATGCATGCATTACATTTATTAAAATCATTAATTTTACCATTGTGAATATCCTAGGGTTATGGTTGCTTCACGACCAATTTCAAAGTTCTGTGCGACTGACACTAGGGGGCGAAATGCGACAATCGTATGCGAATGTCGTGTGCCCTTCCAGGAGGCGCGGTTTAGCAGTCGAACGTCATTCATCGTGGCGTTTAAAATGGGTTACCCAACACTTTCTAATCACTGAACTGAGGGCCGTGCCAGACAACCTGTCACAGGAAGATCTGCTTATTTCCTTACTGTGTCCTACTTAATCATACCCATTGTAGCTACTGCCAGTGGGACTAAAATCTGAAAATGAATATACCACTCAAGACACTTCTGATATTCGGCTTACTGATTGCTACACATGAAGGTGAGTTTTTCGTTCCTATAATAAATTGGAATTAAGATATATGTAATGAATGTGTTTTTTAGCTGAACAAAAAAGGAAAAGTTCCTTGAAGCTACTGTGGAATATTTTCTTATAGACATCTGTAGGCCTAATTTTGTTAAATCGTGATTACAAATTGGTTTACATATGTTTTGAAAGATTATTATATTCTGTTGTTAATGATTTATGAATCGAACATAAGTTTTCCCTTGACTTCTTGGCTTAAATTTATTAATAATAGGCTAAGTATTCATTAGTAAGCTATTTTATGCGTTTTAGCATGGAAACAAAATTTGCCTTTTTATAATAATAATAATAAAGAGCTTAGATTTAAGGTTATTAAATATTAATTAGGTAGAACTGGAATTGTTAATAGAATACAAATAATTCGACTTGTTTGAAAGTTTTTGTTCAAATGTGGCCTACAAAATAGAATAACAGTATAACATTTGTCATTGCAAGTAATTAAAAATTCTAAATCAGCACTGTGATTTTCTGTTATTTATCTGCAGATAGGATGGCCAGTTGGATTAATCATTTATTATATTTTTCGATCAGTCAAGTCAAGTCACATTTATTTATAGCGCTTTTCACAATACAGATTGTATCAAAGCAGCTTCACAGTGATAACATGAAAGTAGCACAACACAGATCAACAACATTGCTAAACACTAAATAACCCCAACTGAGCAAGCTCAAAGCAAGCCAAAAGCAAGGCGATCGGTGTGCATTAAAATGTAATTCTTTACTTTTCTAACTTAACTAATTTATCAGTAGGGTGGTGATGTGATGGCTTTTAGGGCCACTGTAAATATGATTATGTGATCATGAATCAAGTTATCATTAATGTTACTTGAAGATATGACGAAAATTGAACAGAAAAAAAATGGTATGTAAAGTTTATTTTTTGCTTTATTTTTTTTTATTTTTTATTTGGGGCCTTGTCAGGCCATATCTAGTCATTTCAGTAGATAATATTTGAAAAGCCAATAAAAAATGGTAAGGACTTTGCAAGCAATAAAATTTCAGCAGTTACTCAGACCTCTTAAGGAAGATAACAAAGTTCACATTGCCATTTACCGTCAAGGAAGTGCCAGCTCCAAATGCAAGTGCAAGGTTAACTACTCCAAATTAGTTAGTTAGTGTTTCTTGTCCAAAGAACACAATCAAAAAGAATCCAAACTACACATTCACTACAAGCATAATATATGTAATAATGTTTTTCCACCCCTATAAATGTTTACAATACAACAAATAAAACAACAAATATAACTGAGGTTGCTAAACTAGTCAGATTATCAATTTGATGTCTTCAAATAATATTTATGTATAATCAGAAAGGGCTGTGAAAACTTACAGCAGCCTGCTTATCCCACCCTTACACCAAATGATATATGGATGGATAAAACGATTTAAAAAAAAAATAAAATAATGGAAAACATGGGATAGTTTCATCAACCAGAATGGACTATGGAAAATAAACAAAGAAGCTGTGTTTGGTATTTTGTGTGTCTGGATTTGGCATTGGGAAATTGACAGAAGTATAGAACGAAGCAGAGAGATATGCTAATGTTTTCCAATGTTTTCAGGTTTAAATATTTTATGTTCTTTTTCACGTCCACTTTTTTTTTTTTTTTTTTTTTTTTTGACAGTAGTTCTGGTAAATTGTTTTGTCTTTGAACATGCATGGTGTCTTTGTGCTGCCTCCCTTAACATTCAATCTTCCACCACAGAGGCTTTGGATGATAGTGGATCAGGCATGGAATCCAGTCCTACAACTGACAGCACAAGTGCTTCTATCACCACAGCTGATACAATACCAACCACGACGTCAGAAGGTACACTCATATTTTCTTTTTCTAACTTCCATTCAGATATTACGTAAGGGTTAATGCCCGACGAGGTGTCCATTGTCAGGTTTTAATGGACGACGGCGAGGCGTAAACCGGCCGACGCGCAGCGGAGGACGGTTGCCTCCGCCGAAGTCCATTAAAACCTGACAATGGACACCTCGGAGGGCATTAACCCGCTTATACCATGGTCACTTGCCAAATAAAACATTAGTTTATATTTTAATTAGGCTAAATCTAGTTTTTACAAATAATAACTTGACTGACTGTTTATCTAGCAACCGGAGATATTTATAGTCCGCTTAGCTCGTATCCCTTCAGGTTCACAAATGCATTTTTTTTTTTTCATGAAACACAAAGGTAGGCATAGTTTTTTTTATTACACATAAAACAATTAATCAAACAACAATAAAAAACAATTAGCTCTGAGCTCCAGCGATTTGCGCTTAACGTTATAGAGGGCAATAAATTAATCAGATCAGAGGGTCATTTGCCTCAGGCTCCTTAGGCTTGAAACGCTGTAACGTTCAGCCTTCTCCTGCCTTGGTTGTCTGGACAGCTGCGTAAAACTCCCGCAGGGTCTCATTCAGGGGTGCGTTTCCCGAAAGCATCGTTATCCAACTAGCTATGGTCGCAAGTTACGTCGTTACCAATAGAGTTCAATGGAGCAGCGCAGCAGCGGTGTAATTTCCTCCGTTTTATTTACATTTTTTCTTTCTTCAGCAGCATACCAGTCGTCAAAGTTGCCATATTCTCCATAAATGTTAAAAGAAATAGCACGAAGTCGCTCATTGTTGTATTAGGCTATAATATCTAACGTTAGATGATAGAGCATGTGACTGCCTGTTGCTATGGTTACTCACAGCCGTTGTAGGCAGCGCATTTATTTATTAATTTCGAATGGTAAACAGGCAGTTTCACCAGAACTACTTTACTAGGTGTCCTCTATCACTTTTTAACGGACACCCTGCAGCCAATCAGAATCGAGTATTCACCCAGACCATGGTATAAAATTTAATAAACAATAACTAGCTAGGTTAGCTGATTACTTTAAAAGTTCACAGATATCCCCATCAGTTTCATACTTCCATCAACACGGATGGTTCCATCACGTCATTCACCTGTCTGCTATTTCTTAATATTTGCTGTCGTCCATGGCAAGGGTTTATATCAGACTGCTCATTTGTGTAACTGAAACGTCGCTACTTTCATGTGTCATATAATAAGTGGGATGGATGCACTTTATTTTACAGTACGTGTACGTACAGTGTACTTACCTAAGAAAGTACTGGTATATATAAATGGTAAATGGACTGCATTTATATAGCGCCTTCATAGACCTAATGGCCACCAAAGCGCTTTACATTTGCCTCACATTCACCCATTCACACACTCATTCATACACCGACGGCGGTGTCAGCCATGCAAAGCAGCTGGGGTTAGGTGTCTTGCTCATGGACACCTCGACACTTGGTCAGGTGGAACCGAGGATTGAACCACCAACCTTTCGGTTCGTAGACAACCCACATGAACCACTGAGCCACTGCCGTCTATATAAGGTAACTACATGAGTTAAGGTTAGGTTTAGGGGTAGGTCCATGGTTAGTACCTAATTATTACCCAGTTATTGTAATAATTCTAATTAAAAGTCATAGTATGTACATGGGGAATAGGACTGTATAAAGTGCTACCAGTGGGACAATGTGCATTTACAGTTATTTGGTCATTATCACAAAACCAACGCCTTCAGGGTGATGTGAGTGATCCTCGTGGGCAGCTTTCCGACATATAGAGAAACTGCAGGAGTTCAATTCCCAGCTCAAGGTCCTTACCCTGTTGGAGTTTATTGTGGTCTTTGAGCAACCTACCCTAATATATAACTTTTCCCTACAGCTCCTGAGACCGGTACTTTTACCACAGGCATAACATCCAAATCTACAGATGATACTCCTGCCATCACAACTGCTGCCACCACAACTACTATGTCTACAACAATAGGTACTCACACCTCAACAAATCCTAGAAGTGTCATAGAGGGATCCATATGACTTTCTTTCAAAGTTTAACTTATAAGCAAATTTGGGTTTGGTTTTTCTAGTTTCTCATATATTTGGACAGTCACAAATTGTTTCATTTTTCTTTTTTCCAGAATACAAAATTTCTGACAGCTTTATCATTATTTAGTGTGTGATTTTGTTTCTCTGTCTGGTAATGACATTGTTTGTGTAAGTAATTTTCAACTGAAATAATGCTTTGATTTGTGCTAAAGATGCATGCATTTAAAGACTATTCTACTGAACCCACAAACTGACCGTTTTTCATGTCTAAAGTAATTTGAATCAGCATCGAATCATTGCAAGCTGCAACAGTAAGACATTTCTTAATGAAATTCATAGGCGTCAGTGCACACATATTACATTTGTAAATCAAATATTCAAAAAGTGGTGTCTTGTGAGTTTGAAGGACAATAAAAACCATTTCAATTCAGTGTATTCATGCTGAGATGCTCATTTGGTCCTTAAATAAAGTGCCAGGAGAGTAGGAGGAATTTTGAAATGAAAGGAGCAGAAACGGTTTAAGGAATAATAAAACAAAACAATGTTTTTTTGCTTCTTTTGGGCTTGTTTTTTTTTTTTTTGTAACACTTTATTTCGATAGTCCACTTTAGACATTCTACTAACTATAAGTAACGTTTCAACTACATGTCAACTAACTGTCATTAGAGTATTAGTAGACTGTCAGCTTACAGTAATATCTGCTAACACTCTATTTTGTTGGTCCCCCAACAAAATAAGTTACTATAAGTAATTCAACTGACTATAAGTAATTTGGCAACTACAAGTAAACTTATTCTCCTAACCCAAAGCCTAACATCTTACCATAACCTAACAGTCTACTGACAGTCTACTATAATATACTAATACTCTAATGAGAGTTAGTTGTAGTTGAAAAGTTACTTACAATTAGTAGAACATCTAAAGTGACTATCGAAATAAAGTGTAACCTTTTTTTTTTCGACTAGGTCACTTATTTCTATAGTGAAACTAACACTGCTTTTCGCTGTAATCTAAATTCTATGAAGCTATAGACGAATCCGGCGAAACTACCGGAAGTAAGCGGGCGCCATTACTGAGCTGTTGCTGGGTAGCGTTGCGCCATTGCCTTCTATTGTTTTAGTTGCAACTTGCGTCCACTGGAATAAACAGCTTGCGATTTACGACTGTCACTAACGCTACAACGTTAGCCCTTGTATAATGTCGAGTGGGTAAACAGTTTCCGTTATAAATTGTTTCAATGGTGGCAGTAAAATTTCAATTTTGAAGAGAAAACATTGTGAATACCCCGGGTCGACTGCCCCTGTCTGGTGCCGTACGGTTTACACAGATTTCCTGGGCGAGTACAAGACGCGGACATTTGCGTATAATAACAATTATTTAATGACATAAGTAAAAAAAATATAATAAATGTGTGATATAGTGATCAGCAAAATCTCCTCTCTTGTTATTTTTTCTATTCAATTTACATGCTATGGTCATTAAATGGCTTTCCTGAGCTGAATGTAACGTTATGTGACATAATTGTTCTCCTGCTGTTATATTGACCTCTTTCCATGGTTTAAAAACAGTAACGTTAGTTGGTCGATATTATGTATACTTTCTAGCTGTAACGTTACCTTACCCATGCCCGTTGCAATGTAAAAATGAGATAAATAATGGACACAAATGAAAAACATGAAATTGTTTATTTGATTTCATTTATTTATTTATTTATTGTTGCCTAATGGACAGATCTTTTTTTAGTTTCCTCGGTAGCAAACGTTAGCCTAGCTAGCTTGCCAAGCTATTTTCATAAATAATCTGTAAGATCGTTTGTACCTTCATCTGTGACTGGAGGCCAATGTCTAACATCATCAACCCAACAAGTCTGCCTGGCTGTAGCTGTCATCAAGGGTGCGTTATCACCTTATCTCCGAGGTTTGTTTACATACCGGTGCATATGTCTATGCCGGTGTAACAGCTCAGTAATGGCGTCGCCACAAGATGGCAGCCTACACAAGAACGCTCGTCGGATTCGTCAATAGACCTTTCTCACAACTTCCGTATTTGTGACCGGAAATACGCAATTGTCGTGGTAATCTTCTTCCGCTCCATTCATAACAGATAGCGCCGAAGGCAACTAGTGAGAGTTGTTGCGTACCGATCTTTTTTGTTATTCCCAAAAGCAGCCATACCTGTCGTTTTCATTCCTTCCCTCGTCAGTTCCCTGTCGATGAAGTTCGACGGAAATGGATTCAGGCAATCTGGCGGGATGTTATTGATCCTGTGATCTTCTGTACTTCTCATGTCACCATTCACTAATAAGCCGTCATTGTTTGTTTATGTTTTATGTTTTATGATTTGCGTATTTTTGAAGTAACGTTAGTTCATGTTCAACTTTATTAAGATATTTGTATCCAGCGGAATAAGCACATAAAATATACACCACAATATAAAACAAGATAAATAACACACAACAGTGGGCTACATATAAATTTAAAATATTAATATATACCATTCTGAGTATTTAACAATCTGAGTGTACAAGGAATAAATTAATTGTATAATTTTTCTTCTTTGATCGTTCTATAGCAACAGCAGTGCAAAAAATTCAGGATAACTGTTGAATAAAACTGACAGACTTCTTTCTGGTATTCACATCAAAATGTAGTTTATTGTAAATAGGCCTAATACTCCCTAAATATGAATAACTTTCCACACACTCCACCTTCTTACCTTTAATTAACGTATATTGGGAAGAATGAGCTTCAGTTCTAATATCATATCTTTGGTCTTAGATAAATCAGCTGCAGACAAGCATCACCACAGCATTTTACAAAGTCATCAACAACTGGACCATGACAAGTTTAAATTTTTTCGAAGTTTTGAAGACTCTCTGATCAATTTTCTCCTCCCAGAGTAGGTTTTTCTGATGTGTTAACAGTTGACGGGAACTCCGTTTCCACAACGATTACGTATTTCCGGTTTTTGTGAAAAAGGTCTATACAGTAGGTTTGTGTGAGATGAGTGACTCAATTCACCTTTGGCTAAGCCCCGCCCCGCTTAGTTACTGTTGCTACATCCAACAAACTTCATCTGCGCTCTGCATGGCTTATCGGGCTTATCGGTAACACTTTAGAATACTGTATCTTACTTACTGCAGAATTAATAAGGAATTATTGACGAACTAATAGGTAATTCTTCATTAACTACTTCTTCACTACTGTTAACTACTAAGGAAGATGTGTTAACTATATAGTATGTAATATAATTTTATGATTGTGTTAAGTATCAGTTAGTTAATCAATAACTAATGAATTCTGTCATACCTCCTGAAGAACTACTACTAATTATCTACTAATTAAGGTTCAAGAAAAATAACTAAGAAGTAACTACTGAACAGTCATACAAAACTAACCTCAGATTATTTGTATATTTTATATACAGCACTGTGTGTGTCTGTTTTCTTCAGCATAGAATGCCACTGAGTAAATTCATGTATTTGAGGCAACGACTGAGGGAAACTGAAAATATTGGGAACTTTAAAATAATTAATAAATAAGTATCAAATAATTCTGCAGGAATTACTTAGAACCTGGAACAGTATTATAAAGTGAAAATATAGGGAACCCATTAGTAATTAATAAAGAATTATCAAATAATTATCCAGGAATTAGGCTACTTATAATCTGAAACAGTCTTCTAAAGTGAAAATATAAGGAACTTATTAGTAATTAATAAATAACTTTTAAATAGTTCTTCAGGAATTACTTAGAACCTGGAACAGTATTCTAAAGTGACAAAACCCATTAGTAATTAATAAATAATTATCTAGGAATTAGGCTACTTATAACCTGAAACAGTCTTCTAAAGTAAAAATATAAGGAACTTATTAGTAATTAATAAATAATTATTAGATAGTGCTTCAGGAATTACTTAGAACCTGAAACTGTATTCTAAAGTGACAATATAGGGAACCCATTAGTAATTAATAAAGAATTACCACATACTTCTGACTCAAATCAAACTTACTGTAAAAAAAATATTTCGTTTTAACATGTATAATACTGTTTACATGTAAACTCATTTAACAAACATTTTAGAATAAAAAAAAAAATACTTGACTCCATAACCCATAACATATGCCCATAACAGCTACAGCTCTGAGAACAGATTTTAACATCTGATGTAAATAGATTTAGCTAGCTATAGGGTAACTGACATCGTGTCCTTGTATGTTGCCTTGCATAAAACAAAATGATTTACAGCACAGTAAGGATTTTATGGATTAAATAAAACGTACACAAATCTGTATTTCGCTAAAGAAATGCACCAAATCGGCGGCGCTGAGAACTCTCCAGCAGAGGATGCAAATGCCCGCGCTCTTGTGTCACCAAATCACTGTCAAGTCAAGTCACCTTTATTTATATAGCGCTTTTTACAATACAAATTGTTTCAAAGCTTCACATAGATAACAGGAAAACAATGTTATAATAGTATTGTTAAATTAAAATTAAATGTTAAATGTCCCCAACTAAGCAAACCAAAAGCCAATGGCGACAAAGGCGAAGAGAGGTGAAAAAGGCAACAGTGGCAAGGAACCAAAACTCCATCAGGTGACAGAATGGAGAAAAAAAAAAACCTTGGGAGAACCCAGGCTCGGTGTATGTGGCTACCGCGATATTGCCGGAACTTGAATGGTGCAAAAGAAGTTTAAAATGTATAAGAACTAAGTATAACAATAAGGTGTAATATACATGACATGTTTTTGCTTATTTGCAGATCATAGCCTATAGGTAAATGTCTGCACTTATCTTTCTTATTAGTGCTGAAGAATGACAAACTGACTACTGTGTATGACTGTTAATTAGTAGTTACTTCATAGTTATTTTTCTCGAACTTTAATTAATAGATAATTAATAGTAGTTCTTCAGGAGGTATGACAGAATTCATTAGCTATTG